TCACTATATTTATTAAGGCTTTTTATAACTAGTACATTCATCAATGACTTTTTTTGGTTTTATTACGTGCTCCACCGTTAGGCGATACAGGGATGCCCAGTGGAGGTCTTTTTAAGGGAAACTGGCTCTTATCCACGTTACGTATGGGGAAAACCACGGAAACGCCCATGCAGCAAGCCTGTTCGCCGGGATTCGAACCCCGGACCGAACTACCAGTGTTCAGCGACTTTTGCCGCTTGGCCGGTGGTGATCCTCATCAATGACTTGTAGATAAGACTGCATGGTGTTTTCAAGATTCCCTATGCATCTTATTTACGAGCTAATTCTTATTTGAAAATCACTCAGTGCTGCTAGAGCGGATAAAATCGTTGCATACTAACAGTGTGACCCGGACTGAAATTTCGGCAAACCACTTGTCTGCATAGAATTTTTGCGGGAAACAATGTACAAATATAGTAATTTTATATTTAGTTTAATAGTTCTAAAGCATTGTTTTTTCAAATATTATGCACATAGTTTTCTAGACTTCTATAAATGATAGAGCTTTTTCCGTTTCATCATCAACTCTTCACAGTATAATTTTGAGAGAAAAAATTTAACTTACTATGAAGAACAGAATAAATCCTCTCTCAGAGTATCCGCTGAAGAAAATACTTTTTGACAAAAAGAACATCTTTCTTTTTTTTTTTTTTTTTTCCATATCCTCTTCTGAATGTAGACTTCTACGCTTTACCTATCAAGTTAAGATCAAACAATCTGCGGATAATCTAAAGAGCTCGTTTTAAGATCTTTGTTCTCCTTCTTACTCTGTTTAGACATTTCCTATTCCAAAGTTAGAAAATACCCTAAGATTCTTTCATGGGATGTACGATAAATACGTGTCTCGGAAAAGTACTTAAATCTGAAATAAATAGGAGTATGCTATTTAAAGTATGCTATTCTTTTCAAACTATTTATTGTATTTCTAATAACTGGTTTTAGAAAAAATGTACATATATCAATAGTTTCAGTGGTAATCTTTGAAAAACCTGAGAAATCTTACTGCAGGATTATATAAGATATCATATACGTTATCATTCACATTTCATGCAAATAATAAACCTGATTTAAGCTGCCCAGACGGTATCGTGATTAAAGGAGCCTGACTGCGATACCGAAGGACCCTGGTTCGAATCCCGGAGAAGGCATGGATGTAAAATTGTCTGTCCGTTCGTAGGAGGTAATAATGGCCGCCTAATATGTGCTTCCACAATAAAATGGCCACCACTACTGGCCTTAGGAGTGGCCAATGCCGTTATAGGCAATTGTCCGCCATTGGAAAAAATAATAAATAAACATAATTTATCGCGAAATAAGAGTACCGATGTATGTTGGCGTTCATTTGTAAGGGGTCCCCCTTCCGTACCTCCTGCTTTCATGTGTAAATAGAAACCACGTCCGACCAGTAATCAGATTCCTTGAGGGCATTTCATATATATACACTGGTAAAATAAATTAAGAGAATTCGCATGAAAAGAACTGAAGAAAAAACCACTGATTCTAGATAAAAAAGCAAATCTTTTACGGCAAATAAGTAAGCGTACACGTGTATGTAGGCGGACCCAGCAGAAAAACAGGCTTTATAAGCGCATGGAGGGGTAAGACGAATTGCATTCGCTAGCACACGTCGGCGAATTTCTTGGTGTTGTCTGGCAGCAATCGGTTAAATTCACATCGGAACAGTAAAAATGAGTAACCACAAACGTTTAGATGATGGAATAAGGTGGCAAATTGGAGGGGGGGAAGCTAGAGGCAGGCCAATTGCAAGTCCAGATATGCAGAGAGTTTAATTTAACGCCCATCGTCATGTGTAACCTATAGAAACAGTTCCAGGATACTGGATCCATCGAGAAAAAGGTCCGGGGTGTAGTGGGCCCCAAGTTCATCTTACAGGATGATAACGCGAGGTCACATAGAGCTCTTCTGGTCGACGAATTTCTCGAGAGTGAGGATATTCGCCGGATGGATTGGCCAGTCACGTCTCCAGACCTCATACACACGAACATGTGTGTCTATTATAACTGTTGAATGTTTATTCAACAGTTATAATAGACACACACCAAATTATGTTTGTATTATATCAACCCATGTTCACACCAAATTTTATTAAAATCTGTCCAATCGTTCTGGAGATCGTAGATCAAATATGAAAATTTTCTTAATTTATTTCACCAGTGTATATAGTGTTTCCTGCTTTGATAAAAACCTAATGTTTCTACACATCTTGTACATATGCACAATACCAAGCGTAAGGTGGCCAAATATGCATTTAAAAGAATAAAATTAAGATATAATTTAGTAAATCCGCTTTTTGTCAGAGTCAAAGGTGATATCATTAAATAGTAAAACAAATATGTTCTCTAAAAGTCTATGTCAAATGAAAACTGAAGCACAATGAATGAAAACAAAGAACAAGCATTTAAATTTAAAAATCACATCGTTATTCAAATTCAAGCACAAACATGAATCAAAGATATTTGGTAAGTATATGAATATATCATCTTTTATACTTCAAAATAATATGTTTGCGTGATCTCAGATGATATACTCGCGCAGTACATGGTCATAATAACATAACGGTAAAATGCATACATTACATATTAGCTGCTTTGGATTAGAACACTTGCAAAAGCAAAAACTGACGATATTGAATTCATCCGTTAAATCTGAGAAGGGTTCAAAAATAGAATTTTTCATGTCCTCTATGACTATGCCTTATTTTAAAATCAATTTCTTAAAGCATAATGATTTGAGGTTTGAAAACACATTAGCAGAGGGGGGGATTAAAATAACTATAAAGGTATATTTATATTAATTCTGTTTAGTAAATTCCAATGAAAGGTCCCCACCAACCGCCGAGCTGTTAAGTGGTGAATTTAATTAAAACACAAACTATATGCACTGACTGCACCCTCGTTTAGTTTACGATAGATACCTTATTGCTTTATACGGTGAACTATTCGAGGGAGGCCCAATCCGCCTTGTCCCAGCGGGACCATATGACCATGCTTTATACGGTATACAAAATTACCGGTATAAATGTGGTATAAATATAAATTATACCTTTATGAGAAACATCTTAGTTACTGTAAGTACCATTGACAGCTGCATATGATATCTTTAGCTTTGTATTCTAAAAGCAATGTCCATTTCATTCTCACCCATATTGCTTCCATAATGTACTTCTATGTGTCAATACGAGAAACATTACTTTATCAATTCTTGTAGAAAAGTATGCTTTCGTGCACTTATGTACTCGTGTACTTTCGTGTACGATATATTTCATTTAATGAAAGAAATCAATATGTTCATCTACAAAACTTTTCTCAGTAAGTTAAAAATTAAATTACCTTTAATTCAATGTTTATACATTAATAGTAAACTTTCTTAGAATATTACTATTATTTTCTTTCCGAGTGATAATTTATTATGCAGAAAAAATTAACAACATTTTATTGTATATCTGTCTGCTTAATTTTTAGGTAAACATTTTAGTTTTTAATTGTAATACAGTACATAAACCTTTTTAAGGTATTAAGATAAGCGTTATTAAAAAAACAGTGTGAACGTTATGTTTTGTTATGTTAAAAAGTTAGAAAAACACGCTAAAAGACAAAACTAGAGCAAATACGTTTTCCAGAAGCTTATGGCATAATCACTGAGATAAAAGGCAGTTCAGTTCTAGTATATGGTGCAGACGGGATTTGACGACATTATGATAAGCAGTAAACGCCGTATTTATGATGAGCAGTAAACGAGTCGTTTTGTTATTGTCGTTTTGTTTGCAATTTTCAAAATCGCTCAAAGGTGATACCATAGACTAAGATTTTACCCAAAAGGCTAATCCGATTTTAGATAACATATTTCACTCAAAAGGATGATTATGTTCACTTCAACACTTGGTAACAGCACATTTCCTCAGCAGGTTTACCAACTGTGATAAAAGTGAGCACGCTTAAATTCCCAGAAATCATCCAGTGGCCTCTTACCTTACTAATTATTCCATAAACATGTTATCTATTTATTTACCTTAACATTTGAACAGATACTTCACTTACACTAATTCAGTTATAAGGTACTCACTGTACTATCGCAACCGTCTTGGCCCAATTTCGATATTTTTTACGGATGAAAATGCAAAAGTTACTTAGCATGTGCAAACTGGTGGTTTTCGTGCCTTCTTTTTTAGAAAGATTCTCAAACTATCGAGATTTATAGTAAGTTTGGTTAACAGTATCAACATAGGAAAAGCAATTTAAAATACAAATTTGAATTATTTAATATTGATTACTTAAATTATTAAATAAGTATTATGGCATACATAAAAAAAAATAACTCTTACATTTTTCTTCGACTCGTTCTGTAATTTTTTTTCTTATCTTCTTCCGAAGTGTACAGCGATCTATTTCCACTTAAGAAAAACATCAGATAATTGCTGATACTTCGTGCAACCTTCACCAACAGCGGCTATCTAGAAACCGCATTTCCTCGTTGTTCCCTTTAGAAAAGTTTCAACAAAATTCTGTATTACTGCCGAAATTTTACCATAGTTACTTCCATTGCTGGCGAATTCCACAAGCTCATATTTTAAAACTAAGTTTAAGGCAACAAATGTCCCAATTTGTGCATAAAAACCGTTGAAAATTGGAATACAACAGAATAGAACGCATACGAAAATCGCGCCGTTTCTTGACTGAAACGATTATGAGCATGGTGGCCAGAATTTGGCACTTTCTAAAAATTTGGCTACTTCTACTAAGATGTTTATGATAGTACATAAGTACCCAATTATAGACATAAACGTTTCTTCTGAAAATACATCCTAGTCGAATAAAGTCTTTCTTTGTTCATTAAATAAAAATGCTGCTTCATAACATTCGTTCTGCCAATAAATCTTTAATTTTTTTTTTAAATTTAGTTTTTCCGTTTGGATTCTAATATTCTTGTTTTTCTTTTGTTAGCCCTATGATTCCTCAAAGATCATTAAGAGAGATTGTCAACAAGAGAAGACAGTTAAATTACATCAAAACTCTCCTTCAAGATCTTGACGATAAGTTGGAAAAGTTGGAGTAAGTATGCGTACATTGAAGTTGACAAAACCGTTGTATGCTAGACTATACGAAAAAGCGCAATAAATATCTTAAGAATATATTTAAAACCCTTATGCGAAGACTGAAATGTAATTGTGTATCGAATAAATAAATTTTTTTCAATTATTCTTGTAGTACAATTATTTGCTCGTTGCAAAATTTGAATATATAAAATATCCTGAAAATTGTTGAACAGTTAACTGCATTTTACCTCCTTCAGAACTGTTATGTTAAAGCTGATCTCATTTTTATTTCAACAAAAGGTTTGGTATTATTTTAAAATCTAAAAATTACCTCATGTAATTATATATTCTCTTACTAATATTATTAAATATTCTTTTTGAGATGTGCTGAGAGAAAAACTTAGTATTAAGGTATTGTTATTGAAACCCCATCTGTCTGCTATTTCACAATCCATTTGAATTTTCCAAATGTGATTTATATATTATTACTTGAAAGGTCTCCACTGGTATGTTATGATTTTGTATAATTAAGGATAAAAGAATTTCTGCCAATTTGAAATAGAAAATAAAATATTCCTGGCTTTTGCGTCTCGGTTTAATAAGGCATGTATTTAATTTCCTATGCAGAAGTACAGAAAAATAAAATGTAGGAACACACAGTATCTTTGTAGGAATAAATAAAATAAGCCAAAGCAATCAAACATTTCTGTACAAAGGTACACATTTTCTTGAGCATCATCTTAGAAAATAACAATTTTAATAACTTTCAGCTGAAATGAACTATGTTTTGTCTCATTATTTAGGATAGAAAACTGTTAGTCTCTCTAAATAATGAGATAGAACTATTTGAATCATGAAAACAAACATTGCGCTGTATTTATGAAACGTTTTATCAGGGAAAGTTTATATTGCGTTGTTCAAAACAACTTTCTATGCAATGAATTCTAATATCAATTCACGTTGATTTGCATGCGCAATAATCTACTGCTTTTTTGATGCGCTTGTTTAATAGTAATAAATCCTTTATAAATGAAATTTTTCTAATTCCTATTTAGTAGAGACATTTCCAGTCTGCTATCTATCAGATTATTAAAATTTTGCAAAATTTCATAGCTTAATATCCATCTGCTTTTGCTCAGTTATTATATTAATATTATATATAAAGCATACTTAGCTACTTTTGTGAAACTTCTTTATCTTTTAGTGTGTATAAAGCATTTACAGTGGGTAAAAAAAGTATTGGCAATTGCCTGTGATTGATCAATCTAGCTGTCAAAGGAAATGCTTGGCGATTTTAGCTGGACATAATGAGCAGAGAAGGAAATAAAGACAGGTGACGGAGGACGGGGACGCCTGGTGTTTAACAGAAGTAAACAGGCATATGTCTCGCGCTCTCCCCTATCTAGTGGCAGCAACTCACTGGAGCCTCATGTTTATTGAAGAATTTTACCTAATTGTGCATGGTCATACAGAACTATCGTTTTACTATGCCTTTTACACAAATACACCCCAAAAACGTAAATTTGGATGTCGAAAAAGTATTGGCAAGAACATACAGCAAAATGTGGGAACAAAGTTTAATATTTTGTATTCATACCTTTTGCATTTATAACAGCTTGTAATCTATTTCTCATAGAAAAACTGAAAGTCCTGGTTGTTGAAAAGTTATGTTGGGAATTCTGTGCCATTCTTACAGGAGTATACGCTTAAGTTCATCATTACACAAAATTTTATGTTTCCTGACTTTTAAGTCCAATTTTTGCCATAAACTTTCAATTAAACTGGTGAGGAGCGTTATAGAGTAACTATTGCCAGGGGAGGTTCACTGTATCCTTAGGGTCATTATCCTGTTGAAACACAAATGGTGTTCCTAAGCCAAGTTTCTGGGCACTGAATTTCAAGTTATGGCGCAATATATCAATATACGTAGAGCTGTCATAATACCATCAATGAAACACAGGTTACCAATTCCGTTTGTGCTGCCATACAGCCGCAAGCTTCGACGCTCCCTCCAACATGTTTTACAGTCGGTGTTAAATGTTGTTTTTCCACTTCGGTGTTAGGCTTTCTTCACACATATTGTCGTCCATCACTCTCGAAAATGTTAAACTTTGTTTCGTCGGACAAAATAACTGTGTTCCAAAATTCGTCTGATAAATTAATATGAGATTTTGCAAAATCTAATCTCTTTATCCTGTTTATTTCTTAAATAAAAGGTTTCTTTCTAGCTGCCCTTCCATAATAACTTCCTCCATGTCACACCTTCTGTATAGTCTGTAAACTAAAAGTTTTATGACAAGTAATAGCAACATCTTTGGCTAACTAGGGTGCACTTATTTTAGGGGTTAATGCCACGTTTTCCCTTTTAGGAAATATTCGAGGCTGTGCACTTCTAATCTTATTTTTCGTCGATCTTGTCTTTTTGAACTTTTTTACGGTAAATAACCTTATGTTCAGTTGTATTCCTATAGCACGATAAAACCCTTATTTCTGAGCTAAATAATCATGTTTTGAATATTAACATCCAACTCCTCGACTTTGAAGCTGTATTAGCAAAGTAACGTTTTAAAAGTTTTGAAGTTGCACTTCAGGCTTTATATTAACAGGGATTCTTATCAGTCTAAACACGTGACTTTAGCATAACAAATTTTGCATAGCAGTTAGAACTTTGCCAATATTTTTTGACAACCAAATTTACGTTTTGGTGTATATTTTGTGTAAAAGGCATTGTAAAACAATAGTTTCGTTACCTCCTGTGTTCGTTATGTCTAGCTCAAATTGGCAAGCATTTCCTTTGTTAGGTAATATGATCAATTATAGGCAATTGCGAATACTTTTTTACCCACTGTATATACACGCTAAAAGATAAAAAAGTTTCACAAAAGCAACTAAGTATGCTTTATATATATGTGATAAAAATATGTGATTGTTTAAAAATTTTGGTTTGCGAATGTGTAATTGAGTAATGCTACTACTGAGTAGAAAGCTTCAATTTCACTTGCGTTATGTAATTATCATTGAACAAGAGTCATACGAGAAAGATTAGTTTTTAAATAACGCACTTTGATAAAAGCTTAATTAAAAAGGAATTTAAGGAGCTCCTATAAATTGAAATTGGATTTGTTTCTTGCATGCATATGAAACCGAGTTTTTAACTAATCGTAAATTGTGAGAAAAAACCATTTTACAGAAAGTAAGCGTACAAAATTAAATGACTAGAATAGATTGGTTATAAAAAGGTTCCAGTCTGGAGGATTTTCCGATTTACGGCCAACATGTCCATGAGATGGAAGGAAATTAAAATTCTGAGGTGTTAAAAAGTAAAATGAAGGTAATTCATAATGCACCAAAAAATTATAAGGCAGTGTAAAGAAATGTAAAAACAGAAAGAAGTATTAAAATGTCAATCGTACAAGAAAATTCAGAAAGGTATTAAGAAAAACTTTTTCTCTAAAATAAATGAAGGCTAGTAAATAGTTTGAATATATTTAATGAATCAAATCATGAAAATTAATCTCTAAGAATCCCTTATCATTCGATCTCTAAATTTCAGTTTATTATTAAATAAAGAATAAATTTTCAGCTTAATTTTTAAAATCTTTACTCCAGCTATTGGAAATTCTGCTGGATTATCTACAGCTTAACCAAAGTATATGCATTTCTCATTCTATTGTTTTTAATCTAGTTTAGTTTCATTCAGCTAAAGATTTATCCTCTAATACTTTTTCTTATTACTTACACAACAAGAAATTTTCTAGGGAGCTTCCTGATAAATTCAAGAATATTTATCCTCACGGATATTTTGTTTTTAATATTAAGCCTCTGCTCTTTATCAAAGTTCATGTGAAAAACCATTTCTCAAACAAGATACTGAGCTCTACATTTCTTATAGTTCAATTATTCTTATAGTACAATTATTTCTTATAGTTCAAATTGATAAATGCATTTCTTTGATTATGTATATTTTCTCTAAATAAGTATTTTCTAAAATAATTACTATCGCGAAATACAAGTACTTTTTAAACTACAAGCGTACATTCCTACTCTTGCCTTCATTTGTGTGCACCATTTTGAACCGAAATATTTCTTCAGAAAATGAGTTTAATCATTTTTGGCATCGTCATGTCATGCTCTTTCTGATTACAGCAAAGATTTTTTAACTTATAACTTAATCAATTATGAGCTTTAACTAATGAGCCCTACTAAATCTTCCAAAGAGCCTCTATTATTTATTTACATCTTTACCCTTGAAATTTCAGGCATAAATAATTGATTTATTTTGAACATGGAATTTACTGGAAAGAATTTTTATTTACATTGCCCATCCTGCTAAATATCTTTCATTCTTGTATTTTTTTCTTTTCATTTCCCTTCCGATTTCTTCATTTAGAGATAATTTTATGTTTGTTTGTGGTTATCCCACCGGATCGACAGTAACATCAGCTCCGAAATCAGAACAAGCTCACGAAATTCCATTTTGGCAAGGGGTCAAGATTGCACGAGGTCGTTCTTGGACATCTTATAAGTGACAGTATGACTTTGTTCAGTTCCGCCCTTACCTTTGAAGGAGAGCACCCCAGAGAGACGGGTTCAAAGGTCTCCCACTACCAATTTCTTCAAAGGACTTTCAGCTTACTGCATATTTAGAGTCCTCCCAGGATGCACAGACACTATACATCTACGAACATCCATGCCTTCTCCGGGATTCAAGCCCATACCCTTCGCTACGGTAATGAGCGTCGCTAACCACTATCCAGGTTGCGCGGCTCTTATTTCATACTCTTACAAAGAAACTTATTATTTCCAAGACTATAAAATCTTCATTACCTAAACAGCATTAAAAATTTCAGAAGGCATATTTAATTAAATTCAGAATGTAAAATCCATTTTCTACAAACTAATTATTTTCGCGTGCGATATAAAATACTTCTGTTTCTTCGTTTTCAGTTCTACCTGTCCATTAAACAAACATACCTACAATTTAACAAATTGTTTTAAATCGAGAATTCTATTAAATTTATCTCTTTGAAAAATTAACTCTCTGTTATATAAGCTGAAATTTGATTTTAGAAGAGCTTAATTATTTACGATTATTGCAAGTTAAGTAAGTATTAAGCTTAAAGTAATACGTTGAAGGTGAAAAAGTTATTTCGCTTTTCACCTAATTGTGCCTTGTAGAGAATTTTAAGCAGATTTAAGCCAAACCTTCATTTGAAATGTAGCTTAATTTCTAATATCTATGCAGAACTTCTCTAAGCAATGAACTTCCTTCATCCTGAAATGAAACGCTTAACGTGTTGTAAAACGAACTAATTTCGAAGGAAGTAACAGTATTGAGAAAGCTAATAACAAATGCATTGCTTCACAGTGGAATTAGCAGTGCTCGTTGGCCCAGTACTTGAGTGAAGAGGGTTCTTCAATTCAAACCATATTAGCATCAACTAATTCTTTTACATAAGAATGTTATTAGAAGCTAAATTAATAAGGAAAGGAGGACTAATTATATTTTGCGTGTATTTTTGTATGTATTTTCTTCCTCCTTATATCTTCCCTTTATCATGAAACTGAAAAGCACGTCCAGCTAGAAATCAGAAAGTTAGTAATTCGTATCCCAGCAAGGCCATGGCACATTTTTAAGGTTTCCTTCTTGGAAAAACTTAATGATTCTAGATATTCCTTTTAGTTTAGAAAGCTAGTTGATATAACACTTAAAAAACCAGCTAAATTTGTTTTGCTAGTTGTCCCCTGTTGAAAGTCAGTTAAACATACCATTTAGAAAGCTAATTGATATAAGTCTTAAATTTTCCTAAAGCTTGAGAGGCAGTGAAATATAAAACACTAAAGAACTCTAGAATAGGTTATTAATTTGCAATCTAACAATGCAATAACTATTTTTTCTCTTTTAAAATAAAGAAATAAATTATATAGGTAGATTATGACGAAATCCTATATAAATATTTTACGAAAGCCTTCAGGAATGATGCTTACCGGAGAATTTAAATTTAAAAAACTGAAGCTGTTACTATTGTATATGAAACTTTAAAATTTATTGGTCGGCAGTAAGCATGTTTCTTGAACCTTAACTGTTCTTTCAAAGAACATATTATTCATCTTGAAACTACAACGTAATTTCAACAGTACGTAAATTATTCCATTTACCGATAACATTTAAACTGTAAAACTGTTTGCTTGTTTTTTTAGTTAAGAATTGTTACTTTGCTACCTACAGGAAGCGATCATGCCCGATTAACCTTCCTGGTATGGACTGTGATTATGGTGAAGTGAGCGGAACTGGAAAAGATGCCATAGTCTGGTCAAGCAGCCTGGGTCCCGGAAAGAAACGCAGGTAAAATAATTTTCTAGTATTTTTGAACTTAGTGTTAAATAGCTGTGCAAATTTTGTGAAGACTACATTTTATAACATTACATAATACTCTACCAAAGCGTAACGTTTTAATGTATATTAAGGACAAGCGCACGAGTAGAGTCAAAATCATTTTTAATATATGTAAAGACTGTTACTTCACATTACCAATAACTGGAATTAAACAAGGTTGACGAGATTGTGTTAAGGTACAGGACTGGGCGGGATAAATAACAAAGTCATAAAACTAATTCAAAAGACCTCGCCCTAACTACTTACAGATTTATTTAAGAAATGCCTTCAACTAGGAGTCTTCCCGATGTTTTCAAAGACGCGACATATCATACTTTTCTCCAAAAAGACTGAGATCCAGCTAATCCCTATTCATACAGACCCATTAGCCTGCTGCCAGCAATTGGCAATATTCTGGAAAGCGCCATTGTCGAAAGAATAAGGCTCCACTTTCATAATTTGAAATAATCCGCGAAAATCATAGTATATAATCGGTATAGTTTCATGCCAAATTGTTCTACATCCCACTCCGTAGACGAAATATTGAGGACCATACACCACAATAAATCATAAAATCTTCATTCTTTGCCTTGACTTAAAAAAAGCATTTGTTTCCGTCTATTGGCCTGCCGTACTTCAAGCTCAATATTACAACCTAGGAATCAAGCTTTCTTCTAGAGACTAACTCACTATACGGATAACTTTGAATTCCCGAACCCTCCATATTCTCATCTCCCGGCAAATTCTCCTACATCAAAATATATTTTAAAAAGTCTAAAAATATCAATACATACCATAGAGGGTTTACAGATGGATAAAAAATAGATGAAAAAGGGTGTCAGCCTGTATTTTTCTTAAAGCCGAAAATCCGTAAATGCCCTGAGTTTAGTTTAGAATAGAGTTTTTCAAGCTGAACGTTTAGTCATTAAGAAGTCAATACAAATTCCAATTAGTAATAAATACGGCTAGTTCACAATTCGGTCAGATTCTCTTTCTTCGTTACATGCAGTAATGAACTTCAAACACCTTTCTCCAATAGAACAAGAAATCTTTGATCTCCTCCAAGAAAGAGCCAAATTAAAATTTTGCATGGCAAGGTGAAAGCACGTGCGCGGAATGAAGAAAGCGAAGACGCCGATTTCATTGCTAAAGATGGCTAAGACTCTTGATTCTGAAGACATGAAATTAAAATGGCCTAAAGTCATACATTAAAAAAGAAGCACAAAAGATAAATCAAATCTGCAGAACGAATGTAACTATGTTCCCCAAGGCAGGAGAACGTAGGAACTAATCAACATAATAAATGGGAAGAATGCTGAGTATTCTCCGTTTAAATCAATTCATATCAGGACAATATCATTTCTCCACTTGCTACGAGAGAAATATTTCTTCCTGAGGCAATTAACTGTGTTTGCAGCGAAAGAGGATATCCAAAACAGTATATATTCTCATGTCCATTAACACAAGCATATCATGGCGTTCAAGCGAACTCATGTTTCAAAGCTATATCATAAATAATCCACACTTTCATCATAAGATCAACAATATTGTAAAATACCTTTTGGAACAAAGGTAGGATATTTGTCAGCAATAACTGTTACAAAAAAGTCTTTGTATTAGTATACAAATTTTCTATATTATAACTGCATAAAAATGTTTTGGGCAGTTTGCCCGGAGCTTCTTTAGGATGCTTCACTGGATCAGTAGCATCACAGGATAGTACTTGTATCACCATATGCTAAAGTTCTGATGTCCCGTATGCTTATTCCTGTTCACTCAATTTCTCAAGTTGAGGCTATTACACCACTGTTTTAGAATAAATAGAAATGTTTCAAAATTCTTGAAAATACTATATTACGAAATGATAGAAATGCTTTTAAATAAATATGAGAAAACACAAATGCTAGAACAGGTTTTCTAGTTGTAGAGTTGACAAAGACTGCATGCTCTAGTTATTACATTTGTATCTCAAAAATCATAAGATAATTAAGTAACAAAATGTTTATAATATTTTTGAAGTACTATATTATGAGTTATTGAACATTTCATTAAACATGGATTAAGGTATTTTCTCCTACCTTTCCGCATGCTTTCGTGATGTAACCGAAAGCACTCTCGACGTGTATTCGGGAAGTGCAGAGTTCGAATGTCGGCGAGGGCATTGCGGATTTCTTCAGTTTCCTGGCTTCAAAAATTCTAAATAACTCTACAGTGGCGCTGGAACTGAAAAGTTAGTCACCCCCAGAATTTGCAACTGCGCCCAATAAACACCGGTCACCCAAAGGAGAAGTGCATAAGGTGAATGAGTAATTACATAGTAATATACAAGTGATCCCAAAATTATGTGTAGCATAATTACTGGGCGATTTCTATAGTACAAATATCATGTTGTAAGATCAATTGTGTGCGTATACCTATCACTATTAAGTATCCGCACTAGTGATTTTACAAAATCCATTGCAAAATATATAAACAAAATCAGCTAACTTACTAAATCAATATAACACTGCAGATACACGTTGCAAAGTAATACAATAAATATTACTATGGTCTGCAATTGAAACGAATTCATTAAGAATTAATACTAAAAAACAGATTTGCATATATTATCTGCTATATCTTGTGCTGCTTACTATTCTAATACAATGTCTCCTCGCACAGAAGGAACTAATTATTACTATACAATACTAATTTTTACGAAAGATCCAGCTCACAGGGAACTAATTCTACCCCACACTAAGAGTGCATTTTTCTAATACTATTTACGGATAGTTAAAGACCTATGTTAAAATTCTTAATCGTAAGAAGGGAAGAAAAGGCGCACACGTCATATAACAATAAACATATACAACATATTACAGTAACATTACATATGAAACCTCTACATTAAGAGCTGCAGTTAGATACAGTAGCATATGAATCCAGTATACTGAGTACAATAAAGGTTTACATATATGCATTGCGGCAGGTTATATACAGAACAGAATGAAACTAATTAGTTGAATGCGGGGAGTAAAACCTAAATACTACTCTGTGCTGTGCTTACTAGATATCTGTATGTTGCTAATGCTTTTTTGGTTTTCTAAAACACAGAAGGGATCGAGTAGATACAAAATAAAACTAATTATATCCTACGGTAGCAATTCGTATGGAAATATTACTTCAAAGTGCTTTTTACAAATCAGTGGATGTTTAATTTGGACATTGACTCTCGGGGTTTCTGTATCTGAAGAGAGCCTGGAACACGATATCAGCCCTCCCTCATGAGGAAAAAGGATCATTATGATGGTGCAGATGTAATGGTTTGGACCGGCATTATTTTAGGTGCCGCACACTCACACCCTGCATGTATTTAACAATACTTCCTTGACTGCTGTGAAGGTATAGAGAGATCTTACATTCCTATTTTCGACTTTTCGGGGAGGCAATTGGTCCTTGGTTCCTGTTAATGGAAGACAAAACTCGTCCACATAGGGCTCAGCTAGTCGATGATTAAGTGGAAAATCATTGTATTTGCCGCATGGATTGAATCACGAAGTTGAAAAACCGCCTTGCTGCAGGAGTGGGATCGAATGTCACAGGAAGGTCTCAACAGCCCCCTGTCCAAAATGCCGTCACTCTGCGCGACCTGTCTGGCTACGAGAGGGAACGATACCCCATATTAGATTCATTTCCAGTTCGATATCTCAACGTGGATTTTGAACATCCCTGCACTATAATATAATGCTGATAATCTCCTATGCCAACAGAAAAATGTACTACAGCATCCATCTACGGCAATCTAAACAATATGGAGGGAAATACTTTCTGACATGACATTGGATCTCCTAATTTGCCATATGGCGTTTGTATAGAAATTACACGTGAAACTGTTGAGCAATTATATTTAAGCAGTTGTAACCATAAGCCTTTTTCAATTTAATTTAATTTACGTAACAATGCAGTTTTAATTGGCAAGGAAGTAATTACTTATAACATTTTATGCTGATATTGTAAGGTATAAAGTAATGTTATTAAGATGAAAGTTCCCTCGTCAGTGATAGTATATTTAGTTGTCTAATACATTCCATACTTAATATACAATAATGGAACAATACAATTACTGGCGTCTTTTATCCAAAAATCTCGAACATCAGTAACAAGAAATTAAGCATGAAGTTCAAAAATAAACACTTCTATCTATTCATTAATCTTTTTCATTTTCTCTCTGTTGACAAGATTCAATCATAAAGAATATACACTCACGTTTGTGAAAATTGCAAACACCAAGAAGGAATCGTCATAATTGAATGCAATTTAATACACAGTTGAGTGGTAGTGGTACAAATAAATGATTAAATTTTCAAAGCAAACAAACAAGAACAAGAGATCAGAATCAGTATTTTGTGTGGCCACCACGCGCCGCAATAAGTGCTGCTACACGACGTGGCAGGGAGTCAAACAAAGTTTGAATGTCTGACTGAGGAAGAGCATTCCATATCGTTTGTACGCGTACCCAAAGTTCGTCTGCAGACGCAACAGGACGAGGATCACGAGCAAGACGCCGACCAATGACATCCCACACATGTTCAATTGGCGACATATCCGGGGAACACGCAGGCCAAGGAAGAAGCTGTACCTGCTGCGCTGCAAGAAAGGATTTAACAATCCGAGCAGTATGAGGGCGGGCATTGTCCTGTTGAAATACAGCGCCTGGCAAGCTTTGAAGGAAGGGAACAGCTTCGGGCTGTAGAACTTCACGGATATACCGGTTGATGTTCAGATTGCCCACAATTCGTAGCAATTGAGATCGTCTATGATATGCTATGGCGCCCCAGACCATAACTCCGGGTGTTCGTCCACTGTGGCGTTCGATAATGCACTCCGGAAGGTGGCGTTCACCGGCATAGCGTCTGACACGAATGCGGCCATCATGGTACCACAAATTAAAGCGGGATTCGTCAGAAAACACGACATGCTGCCAATCAGCACGCCAGTCTCTATGCTGATTGGCCCATTCTAGCCGCAGGCGGCGATGGTCGTGCGTTAGGGGGATCCTGTATAAAGGAGTCCGTGCGCGCAGTCCACACTGCAGCAGACGTCTACGAATTGATGAAGCACACAATGAAACACCTGTAGCTATTGACCACAGTGCTGCCAATTGTCTAGAGGACGGTCCGTCCGCGCCATGCGGACCAGGTGTCTATCATCGCGAGCTGACGTCACATTTCGGGGTCCACTCCCGGATTTCCGAGTTGTCCGACACTCGTCCGTCCACTGCTTCCAAACGCGCATCACTGTGCTGCTGTTACGCTGCACACGAGAGGCTACTGCACGATACGACAATCCAGCTTCACGAAGGCCGATGATTCTCCCTCGTTCAAACTCTGTAAGTTGTTCAAATCTCGCTCTCTTTCGTCGAAAAAAAAAAAAAAAAAAAAACAAAAAAAAAAAAAAAAAAAAAAAAAAAAAAAAAAAAAAAAAAAAAAGGAAAAAAAAAAAAAAAAAAAAAAAAAACAAAAAAAAAAAAAAAAAAAAAAAAAGTACAGATTGAGTTAACGTTTACCACTAGCAGATAACCACCGATAACCATACACGCCTCGCTACAGCCGTCTATTTATTCGGATCCATCAGCCGTTCAGAGGGCGCTGCTCAGCATACGCATGCGCTACGGATTTGCAATTCTAATCATTTGCATATCATGCGCTACTTTGCATTTCCTGAAAATTTCAGCTCACTCGCGTAAGTCCTTCATGGTGTTGCAATTTTCACAAACGTGAGTGTATTTAATAAGTAAACAAAATATAATTATTATTATAGTGTAATGGTATAAACATTAACTTTGGCATTTCATCCCTTTTGTTATTTTTGATTCCTTCTTTAACTTGTATTTCTTATTTACTAGATACAGAAGAGCTTTGCAGTATCTTCTTTAAATCTGCACAAAGAAACATGCCAGAATATTTGTCAAGTTCATGTGCAAAAAATGCATTTCGATGAATCGTCTATACCCTATGTCCAAGTTTCTTTTCATCAACTGTTTGTTAAAAATGAGTGTATACTTTTTATGTCATTTGTGTTAATAGACCAACAATTATTGAAGTATTTTGAATAAATTTTCTTTTATTTAAATAACACTTACCCTGTATGTAGTATAAAGTTGAACAAGAAATATATGTATATATAAAATTGAATAATTTACCATGATATATTATCTCATTAATATTTAATTTTTTTTAATCTTTATTTTCATACTTTACGTACATCATCATATAAACTTATTAATTAATACATAATAGTCTTGAGTTTTAATATGAGATCTTTTCTTTTCTGCAATTTTCACTTTTTTTTTATATTTTAAACAATATCTGATGCTTAAATAAAAATTAAATTTATGTAAAATAATCCAGCCTAAGTACAGTACTATCTTAATTTACGTGTTTTATGTATTGTAATCTATTGCTCTTCATTGGCTGCTAGAAATTTCAATAAATTATGCAATTTCGTATACAACACGAAGATTTTCAATGCTTTTAAGAAGATGTAAGGCCTCCCTGAGCCACAGATCAATGAAAATGAATATGTGTGTAATAAGTGAATAGATTTGTGTTGTACGTTATAAAATGTTATTTTACCCTATTATGATGTTGTTTTATCAATATATATATAGTAAGCCATAATTAAAAGACAGGTACATAAACTAAATCGCTCATGATAACACAAACTTTCCAAATATAGTTATTTCATGCTTAATTTATACTAGAAGCATTTAAAAATCACCAGATATGCATAAACATCATTTAGTTGTCTTCCATTTCCATGTCAAATGCAATACGTTTCTGAAATTTCTTTTTCTTTCATATTTTTCAATTGTTGTTATTTATTATAAGTATTTAACCCTTAGAAAACCGAAGCCCTCGTTAACTTATATGTTTAAAACACCCTTTCCCCGTCCATTAACGCACAAAGAGGTGTCAACATTTCAAATGACATCTTTTCTAATTCCTAACAATGAAGCTTCCATTCGCTGTTTGCAATAAACTGATTCAGTACATTTGAGAAACTAGTCTAGCTACTGTATACTTTAGGGAGAGGGAAGGAAACAACATCGCAATCTCGGCTGTTTCGAACGGTTGTGGTCGTTTTAATGAAAGGTTGCCTCGAGAGTTTTGCCCTTCAGAGGGATAAATGGTAGCGGGGTAATAAAGTACTTGAAAGATGCAAGATGTGCATTTGTCATGGAGCAGAAATCATACAAATAGGATTTTACATAGCTCCATCCAGAACTGTCAAATACCAAACCTAAGAGCTTTATATTACTTTTCCCTTCCATTAGTTTCTCAGGACAACTTTCAAGTCGACGTGCTTAAGCGCTGGATTTAGGTACTTCCACATGAAGCTTTTTATCTTACCCAGAATATCTTTGCTAAGTGCCAAAATGTCTCACTCGCTTTTTTTTTTTCATTTCTCACCTTATACGAAGTGGCCTGGGCATCACCGATTCAAGGCAAAAACGGGATCCCTTCTTCAATTTCTTAGTTGGTTGGATATATTGAATTTTAAATTATTACAACTCTTTATGCTTCAGAAAAAAGAGAATGAAAGGACAGTATTTCACCTATTTAAAATAATTAATTATTTCAATCATCTTAAAAAAGCTTAATTATATGTTAGCAACAATTATAAATAAAATAGCCTGCTTCCACACCAAGCGTCTGAGTTCCAACCGCAGTTAAAAGATGCACGTGAGCTTTTCTAGTGCTGCACCAAGGAAAAGAACTTAACGTTCCCTGAAAAGAAAGTCCTTTAGAAAGAATGATGGAAGGGACCTTTTAATCCATTCCCCGATGATTTTCAATCAAAGCTTCAATAAATTTCATAAAGTTGTACTACTGCCGATTGATATTCTAACTCTATGTATACCGACATATTCATCCTAACCTGTTAAGGATTTAAACGAATAATAGTATATTAGTAGCATTCCAGCAGAAACTAATGTGCACACATGCGCAGAAGAATGAAATCATAGGTATTTCGTTTTACTATTACTAATGATAAAATTTTCCATTAAAAAAAAATCTTCTTTACCCTCAGAGATTCTGAGCATGTAACATTGTTAAAATGAAATGTTTCATTAAATGATACATATTTATCAAAACTTATTATAGAAATTAGCACACTAATCCCTATAATTATTGTTACTAAGGCCATAGTAAAAATCCATCGAGGGCACATAATGTAATGTTTGGGAAAAACAATCAAATTACTAATTTTCTTTTTTAATTGTAACTATTAATAAATAACAAAATATTTTTGTTCCGATATGTGTATAATTATACATATATTGTAATGATTATGCACTCGTATAACAATTACAAAATGAAATGTACATAAAATAATGTATGTTTTGACGTGCCAATAGTAAGGGAGTATCTGAAATGTGCCAAAGGCATCATAGCGACGAGTTGCTTATTCCTGATCTATATTATCCAGATCTCATTTAGAAGCTAAATAGAATAGAATAATTTATCTTTCAGTTGGACATTTTATAATCTAACGTATTTCCTGTTGCATATTGCACTTATATATTGCATATATATATCTTCGGAACATAAAAATTTGGAGTTTTGAAAACTGTAACACAGCTTTATATTAGAATGTTGTCATAATTTTGATCTAAAATCAATATAACATTTAAAAAGGTACTGTGCTAAATACCAAGCATGCAGTTTCTTGTACAAAACTATTTAACACACTTTTTATCTTCGAATACTTCAGTTTTACGTTTAACAGCACATAAGTTAGTATTCCAAACTTACTTTCTGTTATGGAAGATTAATATAAAAAAAAAACGATTCAAAATTTCTCGTTAGAATAACTCCTTAGAAACGAGAAATTTGAAAATATGGAAATATTAAAAAAACTCTTTACGAAGTTTTATGTAATTAAATGCGATTGAATCTCATACAAATAAACTTTTAAAATCTAATGCAAATTACATTATAAAGGAAAACTTTCGTATTTATTAAGAACTTTCTCCCTCAAACAGAATTTTAAGAAAGGGAAAAACACAATTCTGAGAACATATTCATTATTATACCAAAAGTATTTTTAATCAAAACTGAAGGAATGATTTTTTGTAAAAGTGGAATTTTTCTCATTTTTCTGTGTAAGTAAAATCTCAGACGGTGGTAGGGCATATGCAGGTAATTTGAAAAGAATAACTAGATAACTTATTTTTTTTAATTGATCTTACAAGTGTTCCTTATTACAAGACTTCATAAAATAATATAGATTTATAAAATCGCAGCACTGTTTCGTAGTTATTAGAAAATAAAAGCTACCTTTTCATATGGAACATATGTAGTCCAAATTCAAAATATTCACTTTGTTTTAAAATATTAAAGCAAACAAAAATAATAATTTTATTTGCAAAATTCGTATCTGATGTTAACGGGTAAGCTACAAATTCAATTATAATTTTATCTTTACAAATGCTTTCCAGATCTGTTTGTTCTCTTTGTTGAATTATGTCGGAAATAAGGATGGGGAATAGACTAGTTTAATAGATTATACGTCTTTGCTCAGTACACCATAAACAACATGAAATGTAAGGTCCATAACACATGCAATTGTTCCACACGAACAACTGTTTCGGACATTTTTTCTGCCTGGTTTATTTATTGAAAGAAAGACGCGCGATTTTTTCCTTCCTTTCGAAAAAAATTGCAAGTTGTTCGTTTTCAAATAATCATCTTCGAATGCTACCAGCTTATTTGCAATGCAGAACCAGTTTTTATTTTACATGTTAACTCCAGAGTGATGTGTGGCAATTGGTTGTTGTGACAAAACAGAAAAATTGTTCCAAACAGTTGTTCTTCCAAATCAAACAGATGTGTGATAGCAGCCCAAAGAATAAGGAATTGGAATTTTTATTCAACAACGATTATATTATAATACATCAGATTTTATTTTTTACAAAACTCCGTCCTCTGGGCGTAGAAGCTGCCGTGCAGTAAATTTGCTTAGCACTGGTACTTCGATCTGCGTTTTCAAGAATTTTCCCCATGTGTGATTTGAATAAAGCCAATTTCCTTTACAAAGTCTTCCACGCAGCCATTCCTCCTTCAAGATAAATAGCCGTCGCGTTTTTTGCTATAATCGAACCAAACCAAACCAAACCAAACCAAACCAAAACTCTCCACACACTCTTGAGGTAGTAATTCATAAAATTCTCTTTTTAATTTAAAGAAGCTTTGTGTTTTAAAATACATAACTAGGACTAATAGTTAAGGAATTAAAACACGTAGCCACGTTTCTTTAACAGGGTGTACACATATATGGTTCAATTTCGAGGCTATAATAGATGATTATAGTTGAAGGATTACAAAGGAAGTGTATCATTTCCGTTTGATACATCGGCATAACTTTATTGAAAAATATCTGATGTGTACACCACGTGACTTCCTTGTACGGAATTAACAAATTTTGAATTAAATCTACTTCGTCGATAGTGCATAAACCACAATAGAATAAATGCACTCTTTAAAGTTCATTATGTTTTATTTACCATAGCGACACTTCGACGCTAGATTCGCTAAACAGCGTTACATCTCATTTTTTTTTTTTTTTTTTTTTTTTTCCATTTCTCATTTAAGTCAGAGTGCACAAAAGTTATATCATCTGAAGAATTACCACATGTTCTGTTTAATTTCTATAGTAAATCTAAAATGATACATAAAAGAAATTAAACAAATAAAAAAGAAACAGTACTTCACAGACGACACAGCGCCGCTTACCTAATGCGCATATGCTACTAATTAATTAGGTTCTCACTTCGCGGCAAGGCAAAAATACATAAGAATTTAAAATATTTTCATTAAAAATTGAAAGATATAGAAAAATATAAAACACCAAGTACAGTGAAAACAATTAAAAAAAACTTTTACAATTAAAATTACAGTTTCTACGCAAAGACAAGCTAATAACTTAAATGATAATTCCAGAATAAATTAAGCATAGTTTAATTCGCAATAATATAAGAAGACGTGACTTTGTTGTTGCGAACTTAGTTTCTCTAGATTGGCAACAAATCCACTATTCTGTTAAGTTCCAAATGTAAACAAATATGGCTGCTATGTAAACGAAAATTAGGCTTAGCCGCACTTAAAAACTTTTAAATTGTTGATAATTCCACAATTATTGCATGTAGGATAACTAAAGGTATAAAATCCTTAGCATGAAGATAAGAGCAACATAATTCAATAATTTTTAAAGCAAAAAATGCACAATTAACAAACATATAAGAATAAAGAAACTGAGCTCACCCAGCCGAGTAACAGAGTGAATATACATATACATATATTTATATGTATACTTTTACCCCGATTGTAATCAAAATGGGAGGTGCACATCTACATGTTATAGCAGTCCTATATACAAAATTTCAACGCTCTGAGGATACTCATTTTTGAGTTTTGCGAGATACTTACATACGTACAAACGTATATACTCACATACGTACGTAAGCATGTATGTAAGTACGTACGTACATCACGAAACAATCTCTTTAGAATTCATTTTAAATCAGTTTTATAATTTTTTTTTGGGGGGAAAGAGTCCTGTCAGGCAAAAAAATCG